CTGGCACGACCTACCGGTCGTGGATTCCTTGGCTTTGAACCGCTTTTTTTTGGTTGTAATTTAGGGCCTGGTAAGCAACTAAATCAATTCGTAGCTCGGCTGGCTGGATCATATGTCAAAAGGTTCTTGTCCAGATTTAGCTCCCATCCCACTTCCTGGGCTTAACCCTTTCTACCCCCTTTTCTCGAAGCTCTGAGTTGGCCAATCGAGCTGAGGGAATCCCACAACGGTAATCAATTCTTGGTCATCTACTTCAGTGAACTTGTTTAGGAGGTAACCTCTCAGATGCCGGCTTCAGTGATAGTCGGTCCACAATCATGTTGCCGATAGGCGCCAATTTCCGTGCTCAAACTAGTCGGCATCACTCAGTGAGACCTTTTAGCTCGATAGTCCAAGACATTCCGAGTTCTCTTGGGTATCCAGCTTCAAACTTTGCCCAGAGTTGGCCAGCTGCCAGTAGATCTATCGTAAAGTCTCATAAGAGTGGTTTGAATCAGTCATTTTGAACCGTTGGCTTAAAAAAAGACAACCGCTCATCAATCACAGCACGATTGGCGAATCGGACGTCGTCGGTCAGTCGGGGTCTTTGTCGTCGCGTACCGTATTCATCATTGACCACCACGCTTCATTACCGCCTAGCGGTTTGCTGTGATAGATGAATTCATTATGTATACGGCACACGGAAAATCTATTTGGCAGCGGATGGGGACGTACCTCGGACCTATACAGTTGAGTAGTCCACATGGTTTTGTAGCCCTGAGCAGGTTTAGAGACCTTTCAGACTTTTTGGGCACCACCTTAAGTCGAATAGGCTTAGCCTATTGGGTCGCGACCAAGCGGACTCGATCTGAACATCAAGACGATACGTGCCTGGTACTTAGATGGTCATGGTCAAACTACTTGGCCTAGTCCTATTGAATAGTGGCCCTATCGGTCTCCACTTCGAAACAATGCCCTCAGAAAACGCTCAAGACCTGTGTACCGACCGCCATACCGCCTTTCGGCTATCCAATTCGGCCACGCGACCGGCTGCTCCTCATGACTGCTCAAGTGCCGCGCGTTCAGGCCCACTCCTGTTCAACAATGCACTGCAATTACTCCCAAAGCTATTGTATCAACTCTGACCATGGCGGCTGCTTAAACACAGAACCACCAATTGGTTACTGTGAAACTGTAATTACAGTGTAAACAGTGCGGTGTCGGGGTGGTCTTTGAGTGACTATGGGAGTTCACCCATGCGGGATCGTGCTATTCATGTGGGGAATATGAAAAGACGGCTGGCGGTGTTCTGAAAATGGGATGGCAATCAACCAGGGAAGGGAGGAAGGCTAGTTGGAGGGCAAACACGTTGGTAGATCGTTCATAAGGTCCTGTTATCTACGGAGGTCCTGCGATCATAGAGCATACGCTGTCGCTACGAAAAATCATACCCATGAAGAGAATTGTGAGCTTCCGATTTCCGCGAGTTCCGATTTCCGACTGAGTTTTCAGCTTTCGGGCACGGTTTTCGGGTTTTCCTTCTCCAGTTTTCACAACATGACTAACGGTAATCATTAAGCAAAATTACAGTAACCCATTGAGTCTTGGAATGTGGTTTCGTGGTAGAGAATTACTATATTGTTTGCGCGCGTCTTCCGGTCGCTCTGAGGTCACTCAAGGTGCATTACACGCCTCAATGATTACGGTAGATCTGTCGCCAGAGCGCCAACACTATCCCAGTAATAATCACGTCGTCGAGGACTCCATAGGGAGATAAGGGATGTAGGTGGACAGGGAAGGGTACAGGAGAAATTTGGAAGGTACCGGGATTCTCACCCAGAAATTGAAAACTCTCTGGAAGAATAGGCTTTCCCTGAATTCCACCATTCAGTCTCTCTCCCACTTCAACTGTAGGTCAATACCAAAGTGACAGTGGCCCACAGTCGCACATCACTAATCACCTCCTTCATTATGCGTCCACTTGAGAACATCATCAGGGAATATTCCCACACACCCGATGTCCATTCTCGGTCACTTAATCGATTTGACCGTAATTATTCACATACTAGTGCAAGGAGCTTATTAAGTGGCATTGTGTAACAGTGGCTGTGGTACATGGCTTGCGCAACCCTCGGAAGTGCTCCATGGACGATTACGGGTTTGGGCTCAAACCCATGGGGTCATGCGGATCTTACAACCGAGGTTATAAATGAGTTCCTGCAGATGTCATCAATTTTTACGGCACATCATCCTCGAAAACTCCGCTGGTCTCGCCGGTCGTAAAATGCTTGAGACCACATGCACCTTCGGAAAATTTCATACGTCGCGAGGAGGGGGGCAGTTGAGAAAATGGAATGTTTGGGTAGTCATACATCCTCCTTGAGTAAGGAAAGATTGTAGGATGTCCGAAATATCCAGAAATTCCAGAAGGATTCTGGATCGCGGAACTGTGGGGCGTAAGTAGGAAACACAAAAGCAGAACGTGCTGGGTAACTTTAAGGTTCCCTATCCCCCCCCCCCAACCGGAAACTAATATCTAAGACCGCTGTGGTAATAGCCAGTTTTATGTCTACCCATCGGTAACCCCCTTAGATCTAGCCACGTCAATCAGTACTTTCACCGTAGAGCTTCACAATTCGCCCTGTATGGTCTGTTCTAGAAGCTTGAAAACAAGGCCAGTACAAGGTTACCCAGAGATATAAATTACCCAAAAGGCTGTCTAAAGCCCCAACCGTACCTCATTCGTCTAGGGTAGCCCGTACCCAGTGGATGGCCCTGGCAGTGGAAGTGGCCCTGGAATGTTTCCGATCTGCAAAATTATTCACTTGGTTATCGTCTAAGCTTCCAACGCAGTCCACGCAAAACGTTTTGCGCTCAGATTCGGATTTCACTTCAACACTTGGCTACCTATGGCTAAAATGCGATGAATAACCCCCTCCCCTTGCGATCACGTCTTCATAGGTGAGATAGTGGCTTTTACCTTTTTTGAAATTTGACGACTTCTTACGGCCAGATAGCCAGCCTATTGTCAATCAAGTATGGATTCTGAAAGGCTCAAATTGACGCTATCCTGCTTTATTGAGAAACAAGAAAACCATATAAATGAAATAATTGAAATGGCTCGTTTCGCTTATTCCTCAGAAGAACCTTATTAACCCTGATCCTCACCTCTATAGGCTATTGTTTATTTGTCAGGAAGATTGTTTATTATATTTATTCGAAAACTGTTTGTAAATTCTTGAAGGTGCTGTCTTCTTCCCTTCTTATAATAGTTATCATTTCTAAAAAAACGCGCTATCGCAACATACGGGGGCATTGTGTTTGGCAATGCATGCAAACCGCGTCAAATATCCCCATTTGTTGAAAACGGGATTAAATGCGGGACATAATGCGTGAGCTGTTCTCACTTTTCCTGAAGCTCCTGCTCCTCCCATGCTCATTCCAGACGATGCCCCGTATTTTGCATTAGCGCCCAAGAAAAAGTTTGGCGTTATTTTAATATTTTTCAGGACAACGCAGAACAACGGCGGAATCTGAAGCATCACATCATCCAAATATGTAAAGACGATGACACGTGCTCAGCGGTGAGTTCACATTCTGTCTTTATGTCTTTCTGTCTCTTTGTCCTCTTGTGTGCCTTTCCGCCAGTCCGTCCATTCATCTGTTTACCCGTTAGAACCCCGGAACAATTCCTACAAGATGCCATACTCCCATAGAAGCACCCAAATGCGCGCGCGATCTGGGATTAACCTGTTTGCCAAGACATCTCGACGAGTGTGAACCCCAATAAAATCTGATCCGTTCGGCAAACCTTCCACGAGGAGATTAGGCGCCTTGTTTGGTGCTGGGGACACAGTAGCTCTGGCTCGTCAGAACGAATCACCCAGTTGGATTTTCTCGACTGGGGCTTCTCTCTCAAATGGAATTCAGCCGGCCATCTGTCACCGGGTGACAGTTTTAACCCGGTTCGGATTGCCACTTTCCAATGGGGATAAATAAGTGTGGGCTGATCTGGCCACAGCCATGCATTCTACCTGGTCTATCGTCCTAATTACGATGGAGGTAGCCATTAGAGTGTGGTACGCTTCGCTGCGCATTCCTACGTTGAGGAATCAGCAGCGCCGAACCATGGTGGACATTCGTCGTAAGATGAATAGAGTACGGGGAGAAAATTGGGGCCACAAATGACCCTTCATTGACCCTGTTACTGGCGCTACCTAGAAGGACTAGGATTCTTCCTGCTTGAGAGGGAACAGCATACATTAGCTATCTTGAGCAAGCCATACCAAAAACCGACTATGACAGCGGCATATGGCGTGCGCATTTATCAGCCGAAGACGTTTCATCGTCGATTCGAATGAACCACCCGCCACCATCGGGGGCCAGATTGCCGGTCACGTCGAGAACAATGCGGGTGAATCCATCAAATTCGAGCTTCTTATGGCAACAGCCGAAAAAAACTCGCGTTACGGCCGAAATTGAGCTGGCTAAAAATATGGGCCGCGATCGTTTTGACGTCAAATGGGCTCATAACCGGGAAGCCATCTAGCAAAGAGGGCACTATTCCTCCTTCCTAGTATCTCCAATATTCCGATTTCCAAGATCTGAGAATCTTCCAGGGTTTGGGATCCATTTTCGCTGAAGTGTTGCTTGCCATGGTGAATTTTTTAGCTAAGGTGACCAAATTTCGAGCAACCCCATAACGTGGAAGGTTGAGCTCATCAAGACTGGTGACAGCGCTTCACAGCAACTTCGGCAAGTATAAACGCAGCCTAATAAATTGGGGACGGACTAATTTAAAAAAAAAAAAAAAAAACCAACCTGTGGTCGCTTTCAATTCCCCATCCGGTCGGATCAAAGATCACTTTCAAACTTGAAATGCCGGCTGGCTGATGGTTCGTCGATCTAATGGAACCAGAATGGGAAACCTCAATGACCCGTATTCGACAACGACGAGACGAGCCGAAAATGGACGTGAAATTGCGCCCGCTATAGGGTGGGCTAGGCGCAACGCGGCATTGGGGCGGAAAGGGGCCATCGAACCCTACCATCAACCTGACTGCTCAAACAGAACCCTTGATAAGATCATCTGGCAATCCATTGCAGATCGTCTTTATTACGCGGAACATCTGCGGAACCGCTGCCGCTGCTGCTGCTGCTGGGCGCTTATTGCGTTACGGTCGTGAATCGCTTGTCGAACAGCAATTAGGAAACTGTTTAGCGGCGATAGTAAACTTTTAGTAGCCAGCCGGGCGGCCATCACTTTTGAAGTCCTATGGCTATAGCAACCGTCGGCCATATGTCAGAGAAGACTTCAGTGAACAAAGAAGCCACACAGGAACATCCTCGGTCACGGTCGCAATATCGAAGTGGTGGGACAGGAGCTAACCGCCTTCTTCAGACTCAAACACTGGCTGTGGGATCAGCTGGAAAATTATGACCCAAAAAGTGGTCTCGTTAATTTTTTCCTAGAAAGTGGGCCCATCAAAAAACAAGGCCAAATGAAAGTAGCCCTGCCCTGGTCTCTTTGCATGTGTGGCCTGCTGGGCCCAACTCTGACCGGGCCCAAGCTAACAACAAGGCCATCTAATGTGCTGTTCAGTTATGCGCAACCATACGGCGCTTTCGCAATGGCGAATTATTCACATAAAACGCTGCGTTGGGCGCGCGGCTTTTCGTTGCAATTGTCAAAGGGGCGATAATAAGCGATGGAACGACCAACAGTAGATGCCATATGTGGCCAAGAAAAGACATAAAGAGCACATGGTGGTCTCTAGGAGGTCTTGTTGTTGGTTGTTTATAATTCAGACTCAAGTCGGTAGCCGACACTAGTGGCTATCCCGGATTTGGGGTTTTTTGCCATCGGAAATCGGAATTCGGAATGTGATGGTAAATTGGCACCCAGTCTGAAATGGTCAAATATCTTAGCGGATCACTTGTAGGCAGAGATACTTCGAAATCGAGGGAAGTGTATCATCTGTAGGGAGGATCGGACACACCCTGCGGATTCTCGGTCTTTTCGGCAGTCGGAAAGCGGAAATGGGAACGCGACAATCCAATGGTTCAAAGTATGGAATTACTTTCGGTAGCCAACTGGCCCTCCTGGCCTCTAGTCAGCAACATGGATGATGAACTTTTCCGTGGTGACTCGTCCAGGATACTGGCCCCTTTTTACCCTTTTACCTCCATTCTAGCTTGACTGGATAATGAGCGCTCTAGGAAAATCTTGTCTTGATCGCCAAATGCTGTACTACAATTGAATACCCGTGGTAATCCTTGAACTGTAGACGACTGCATGGAGTGTTTGCGATCATCTGGCGGCTCAAGTGCTGCTCAGTCAAGCTGTTTGCCATCTAGGCGTTTGGGAACTGATAGCACAGCCAGCAGATGACGTGAGAGGGTCGGAGAAGATCAATTTTTCCGACGGCGGTAAAAGCCACTTGACCGCATTGGCGCGCTGATCGCTCGTCAGGATCGTCACCAACTCGGTTATCGTCCGCCATAAATAGCTCTTAGGGTTATTGAGACGGCTCTGGGATTGCCTCATTGGCAGATAATGTTTCTTCAGATTCAGGGAGCTGGATATATTCCTTATTCCTGTTCTGAGCGAAAAACTCCATGAGCTATTCTGATCAGTTTCCGATTTCTGAGTAAGGACCTCATCAACACTGGAATTGCCCCACTTTCTTAGAAATTGGCGCAGCACTTACGCCGTACTTAGGCGTTCTCTTACACCTTACTTGCTCAACTGAAATTATAATACCTACGTGATAGGTGACAATGGACTTAATAATCTCGGACCTGGTGATCATTTACGGACCAACAAGGTGCTTCAAAGCTCAGTGATACCAGTGATAAGCCGGTGATAGTCCCACGAAGATGTCTGCTCAGCTTGGCCTCGCTCATCAGGCTTTTGCGGTGATCTCGAGTTGTTTTGGCCCAGGAGGCAGTGGCGTTAAAGTGGTTTACGAGCCACCCGGGTGGGACAAGTGAATGACCGCATAATGCCCTTCTCACCCACAATTAACAATTACCATAGCTAAACGCAGCTAATGAAAATCGCCAGGAGAGTGTGGCTGGCCACGACGATTCTGAAGGGATCGCTTCACACGGATGCCATCGTTTCAGTTTCACTACTTTGCGTAGATTAAATTGGTAGTTTCGACTGCCGGAAAGGGAGCGGATATTGTAGGAGTTTTCAAAAAAGGTTCTCCCAAGGACATTAGTACTACACCCGTCTGGCCGAGAAGTGCATTACCGTGTCGCAGAAAACAAGTGCACTGCCGTGTCGCAAAAAACAAAAACTTAAAGTTCGGTTGTTGCTTTGTCGACCGCGCCAAGCACTAGCCATCTGCTTGCCACGTGGCGCTGCGGATTGATCATAGGTCAAGAATTCCATACAAAGGTAAAATGGCTCTACTTCCACTGGAAGGTTCTAATGATGAAAGGTTTCTGATTGACTTTCAGACCTGGCAGTAGCGCGTCAACCACCACTTGGCCATCCATTTTCCCTTTTACCCACACCTCAGTCCTTCGCATAATTGCATGATTTCTGTACGTCTTCGGTTTCCAAAAGGGAACGAAAGCTTTTGAAGCCGAAACCCATTTTTGGGATGAGCCACGCACTCTACTTTTATTCAGAATAGTGGCATCATTTTATCGCGATTTGGTCTAGACAATGACTTGGGAGGGCCAGTTAACGTGCAATTGAGCGTTTTTATCTTCCCAGACGAGTCTGGTACCAATTAAATGATTTCGGGAGGAAAGAAGACTGGGTTGACCTGGGCGACGCACGATCCCGGATTAGATCCTTACTGTGTGCCGTGAAAGCATACATAATACTGTCTAGTCCACACACACACACCATCTCTGCCCCTCATTTTTTGTGCTTCGGGGCCATTGTTCGAAATTCCCACTCTCGGAGCACTTTATTTTTTATATGACTTGAAAACATTTTACTGTGAACCTGTTGTTGGTCAATTATTGATTGACCAATTGTTTTCAGTGCACCGAGCCATGTCGGGAAAGCTTCACCGACGTCATTTCCTGTAAAGATACCGTCTGCAAAGTGAGTTTCACCCTTTTTTCCTAGTTTCTACTGACAGTCAATGAAATCGCTTCCAGGATACGGCAGAAAACAATGTGTGCGAAAAGTCATGCGACTATCTGCAGCGCATTTTCACAGAAAAGCCTGGCGCTTGTCCGAAATTCGCCAATCAGTCCAACTATGTAGGTCTTTCTTCAAATCCCATATTTCTTCAAATGTGTCGCCCAGAAAAATGAAATTCAAATGCCCTGAATATCAAGATATGAGGAACAAAAGGGCCTTAAAAGTGATCAATCATTTCCTGATCTCAATTATGAACGGGCTTTCAGGAATGCACAGCGCTGTGCCATCTCGACGGCGACTGCCCAGAAACGGGAAAATGCTGCTCGTATGGTTGCAGTCGACAGTGCGCGCTCCCGAAAGGACGAGATCCACGACTGTTGCCCATACCGAGCTCGATTTCCGTTCAGGAACGGAAGAGGAAACGGTAAGTGGTTGAGTACGGTCCTGCAGGGATTAGGCTGTAGTCACATCTATTCATTTGTGTACGGGTGAAGTTACTGTCAAGATTTGCTTACCACGAACGGGCATGATGAAGCTGGCAGATAAACATCCATCATTCACAAGCCAAGTAAACGGGTGGTGAGGTACATTGGTAGGGGCTGATACTGTCAACGTTTTTTTGATAAAATGCGGATGGATTCACCTTATGTTCAGGAAACAGCGACTTCAGGTAAAAAAGCTTGAACAGTTTGTGGATAAGTGGAGCGCTAAAATAGGCACGGTCGGACGACATTTGCTAACCGTGGCATTCATCGCGCGTCAAGTTGTCATGACAGGAAGGCCCAATTAGCTGGCTATATCTCAGATTTTTTCTATTAGTGGCAGAACTGGGATTTCACTAGCGTGAAAAACGGTAGAGGGAATTCTCAAAAAGAGTCTGGTGTTAAAGGGAATTCACTGATCACTTCTCCTCCTAGATCAGGTCACCGGAGCTGCACGATGATCGAAGCCTAGGGTTGTGCTTATGCTCAGCTTCAAGTCAGAATTGCTTTACACATTCATTCACATCAGCATTCCTAGCCATATGATTATAGGCTTGACTTGAGCTAGGTTTGCCACGTAGTAAATCGGAGTATCCGAGTCGACGTGACTTCAGGAGCGAAGAACGGAAATGATAACAGGCGGTACAAGTAAAGAATCCTGATTTAATGTGACGGGACGCAGGAAATCTATGCCTGTTCTTGGTGCAGCTCTGACTGTTCGACTTCGTTCGAGTCTAATAATAAAGCTGCAGGCGAGCCTCATTAGCAAAAGCGCTGGATCCCGCAGATAACTTCTTTATGTTATAACACTATCGATTTATTGATTTATGGCGTATTTCATCATTTCACTCCATCATTATTCGATGGGTGATGCAAAAATTGAGCCGTGAACAAAACGCCGCCAACTCAAATCTCTACGTGGTTCAATGGCGATGGGGTCTGCAACCGGACGGTGAGAGCATGACCGAATGGCAAACCGTCACTGTGGTGAGTATTTCCACCGAAACCCTGGAAATCAATGGGTCGACAATCGTGCAACGAATTCATTGCAGCGAAACAAGCCATATGCGATTCTGAAGCATCTACTGTCACCTGGTCGTTATTATCAGTTCCGAGTCGGCGCCGTCAGCGTCCATGGAAGCCTTGGGTTCAGCCAGCCATCGCAGCCCTTCAAACTTTCAAAAGGTAAACTGGAAGTGGTTTTTATTGATTTCTACAACACAGGTATTTACGAAACTAAACGTCTATGCGTTGAATGACTCAAAATTTGATTTCATCTTTAAGAGTTATTCAGAACAAAAAATAGAACTTATGATTAGATACAATAAAGCTAAACTAGTACCAGGTTCGAGATACTGAATGATCAATATATTTTCGAGAAATTTCAGAGGCTCGGGCTCCATCATCGCCACGTGACATATCCCTGGCGCTTCCGAGCTGTAAACAACCCCTCCCTATTTGCGCCTTTGGAATCAACATAGTTCAATGGACACCGCAGCCAGCGGACGACTACCATCACGAATTATACAGTACCCGCATATTCGACCAACTAAACAAAAGACCCGTTGCAATATACCATAAGCTTTATACTGGGGTTGGATTGTTTTCCGAATAAGTTTAGTCGAGTTCGCAACACAACACGCTCAATAATCTCATGTGGTTCATTAATCTTAATTCCGTAGTCATAGCCGCGAGCGGGTGCGATGCAAACCCCGTACCACTTCAAGAAATCACTCCAGTTCATTCCATAATTCTTCGTCAGGTTCGCGAAACGACGACATGTGATCGTTGTTCGCTTGTGGCGTCGTTTGTGATCCGCCGCTTCGCGAACGCTCGCAAATCCATCCGCTAAACGCACAGTTTTCTATCGAAAAGAATTTTTGGTCACTCACGTTAGAGTAAAATCGGAGTGTAATTCTCTTAAAAGAATTGCCTGTAGAAGAGCCCCACAAGTTTGTCTTATCCCTAATAAGTCCCACAGGACAGCCGTAAAATTCCTTATTTCGCCTTTTCTTTGTTTTTTTTTTTTTTTTGTTTGCCTGTCAAGTTAGAGGTGTCATTTCAGCTTTCATGGGCCGTGTCATCCGCTTCCGAAGCGAATGCTTTTGAAGAAATGATGCGACGACGTGCCACGCTCACTACCCACGAGAAAAGAAGTCTTGATGAAGAAGAAGAGGCCTGGGGTATCGATGGACGGTAAGCACTCGTGAACCTCTGTTTCTCCATTAGCATCGTGATTTTTTATTCCTGTAAAATTGCAAATGAAGAGGCGCCTTTGCGGCAGTTAACAGAGAAGTGTGGGAGAGGCTGAGCCCAACTGCGCGCTTAAGGAAAAGTATGAGCCTTCTCAGCCGCACCCGCACTGCGCGATAGGGAACAGTCATCGCGAATTGCGAAAGAAGTGTCAGTTAATTTTTTAAGGGGACAGTTATCTCAATCCGAAACATTTTTTTCTCTGTTCTTATATACAGGCATACTTACAGTCCTTGTTTGAAGCAGTTTTTGATGGTAATAGTACTTTACAAATCCAATTTCAACGGACCTCTTCCCTATCTTAGCAGGGGTATTCTAATAAGGAGCTCAATGTCGCTTACCTACAATGCTTACGTAGATTTCCTCACGATTTCACGAAATGAACAAATTGAAATCAATACCGATTGTTCCAGAGATGATCGGCTGTGCATGTATGAGTATTTCAGGGATCGTCACTCCGTGATCGTTCCCAGTCACACCACCCAATCTGAGCTCTCTGGACTGTTCCCGAATTCTGTCTATATTGTTGAGGTGAGAACGGTCGATCAGAAAGTACTTCAGTTTCACCAGCACTGACCCCAATATGCACTGGTAATGCTGTTGTGATAACGGTGGTAGTTACAAAGGTCTTCTTTTGTAGATACACGCTTCGGTGGATTCAAGCGAAGGTGAACTGCACGGTGAGAAGGGCATCATTTTCGTGCGAACGCTGAATGCCACCACATCGCAGATTCTCAAGGAGCCTCCAATCGGTTAGTGGATTATGTAGAATGCATAGTTGATAATAACGTGCTTCCAAACGCGCAAGAGATGCACTGATAGGGTCGAATTGGCCTACTTTATTGCCGCTCAAGCGGCTGGTGGTATAGCTTGAAAATTAGCCTTAGATGGCCAGCACGATAAAAACGACATAGCAGGTGAGGGTAGATGAGGCGCGAGGGAAAGCTGTTTCTCCTGGGATGGATGCCCTCCCGACTGAAAGTGCCTAGGGGTGATCACGATGGCTGGAGGGCGCTGTGGTTTTGGTAATGTCCTTTAACGCCATTGCTGGAAGGGCGGTGGAAGGCGGTCTAGCCCGCTGAGGAGTCTGGTCCACCAACGGCGTTTAGTGACATCATTGAGATCGCACCGCCCTTCAGCCATCGTGATCACTGCCTTTAATCCTCCGTTGATGAAAGAGCGGGCCTTCCACTTTTGCAAAGGTACTAGAGGCATTCTCCCCAAGAAAATGTGTTTAAATGTTGTCTATTCCAGACGAAACTGGTTTCGACCTAGCCGTGCCGACGACTTCTTCCGATGAGGACGATGATGCTAATGTTGATATCCAGACTCCATTCTACGACGGAGAGCTGCAGGTTGGTTTCTTGAGCCCATATGCTTAGAGCTTCAAGTTGTAACCACGGAGGCGGAGTGAGGAGTGGGGGGTGGGGAATAAACGAAGCTAAACGACCCCGAACTCAGTAGCATTTTCAATAACGAGAGATTTTGTTCGCAATTTAGAATTAAGGCCCGCAGCAGACTGTTATCAGCGCGACGCCCGAATAACCTTCTAAGCAATGGTCTCGGAATAAAATATGTGATTTTGGGAGACTATCAGGGAAGGCTGACTAACTCAGGCAACCTACACGTTATACATAGGAGTGAACACATCCAATACGCCTTGTTTCTCGGGGCGGAATATGCCGTAATTGCAGTTAGTAACCAATCGACATCAAAGAGCCTCAAGAGCATCACAAAGCCTGTTATTTTTTTCAAGGCCATGGCCGAACTCTGCAACTAGGCCATATCCCGCACCGAGAAGCAGAGGGTCATCTGAGTTTTTCTTACCAACCTCAAATAAACGGTCTCACTTACACCCAACCACTCCTGGGAAACCCCTTTGAGAAGCCAGTATTCAATGCAAAGCATCACTGTCAATCTCATTCTGCAGTAGAGACACCCTCACCGCTTTGTTGATTGATGTATTGATTTTCAGACCTCAGTGAGTTGGATCAATTCGGCTGTTTGTTCACCGGAGAAGAAAACATTTGTGGTGAAGGCGAAGCGTGGAACTTGCAGAGAATATCAGCTCAATCAACATTCGGACACAACGTGAGTGACACCGGTTCGGTACAGCACTGACCAAAATAGTCTCGCGGCTATAAAACAAAAGTACGGGTACGGTAGCTGCTCCGACAATTATTTCGATACGTACTATCATCTGTTAACGATAATTGAGAGGCCCTTCATGTAGCACAGGAAGTTTATCATTAAGACCAAGATAACATGATAAGCAAAGTCATCAATACTAAATCCCGAGAAATAAGTAAGACAGTATGGAAAGTGAAGTAATAGATATGAACAATTCACTGGTTCTAATACGATTCGTTCAGCGTCCACGAACTACGCGTCACTGAATGTTCGGCAACCATTCGTGGCTTGACGTTTGATTGCGACTATTCGCTGGAGATCACGGAAGTTGGCAATGCTAAGGTAAAATTTCGTAATTTCTCACACAGCCTTGAGAGTGCTTGGTGTAGTAGTGGCAAGCTTTCCTATGCCTCTGGGATTAGGATATTCACCGCCCCATCCTTCCGGGAGTATCAAAGCGCACGAACCTATACTGGTCATGCATCAAAGGCCAGATTGCATTCAATGCGCTATAATCCCGCACGCAATTCAAGTGCGTGGCGCATCCCTGAATCGAACTGATCAATAAGGAGCGCTCAACACTAATTTAGAGTAGGAAGAAGGGAACTGTATTGTCCTTCCCTGCAGAGAGCGTACTAAGCCCGTCGCACAAAATGCGCGGTTAGGGCGCTAATCGTTAAGGGCCTGCAACCATCGACCCTTTTGCAACGCTTCCCACCCACCGCGATTGATGTGGAGATCAGCGCGCTCTCTCGAACGGCGTGCTCTCTTGCGTGTTCTGCCTTCTCTGATCGCTTTGTCTTCAAGTAAACTATCATTGGGGGAGGAACTGACTGCGAGGGAATTTGGGCTCATGAGGAAGCCTTCCAGGGTTTCACCAGAACTTCTACCCAGCAGTCAGTCACCATCTCCGAAGGCAGCTACCTTGGTCCCAAAGCATTTACCTATCCTTCACGAAAATTTGGCCGAATTCCTAAAATGGAAGCCAATGAAACATAACGAAATTGCAGCATTATCGGTACTTTGCTAAGCATTACCGCGACTGCCCTTATAAAACCCCTTCTATTCTACCCAGCCAAAAAATTGACTTTAACTATTATTTACAATGATCCCCTTTGCAGACAATCCTCACCGGCAGCTTCTCAACGGACCCGTGCGATTCCACGCCCTCAAGCGGTGCTGTTCCCTGTCTCTCGCTTGCTACGCCCGTCTTCTGCATCGTTCACACCACCGTTTCCTGCCACTGGGTCCGTGA